CAGGAGCGGCTGCTGCTGCACACAGTTAGGCCGGCCGCGGTGGGAAAACCGTGGGCGTCCCCTGGACCTCAGCATCCCATTAGGACGGTTCCGCGGTGGGTGCCGCACGCCGCAGAGTGGGCAGAGCTTTCACAGGGGTCTTCGCATTCCACCCGCACACAGCAGCTCCTGGAGGGAGGCCAGGAAGACACTATTAACCCATTTTGCAGACAGAAAACTAAGTAAGGCTCAGAGTGGGAAGGAGACTTGCCCAGGGACACCCAGCGAGGTTGTGGCGTTGGGACTGGGTTCCTACTCCGCCACATCCAGCGCCCTTGTCACCAGACCCCTCTGCCTCACCTGGCAAAGGATGGGGCGGAGCTAAAGGATTAGTTAGAGGAATGACTGGCAGGGTTTTTTTTTGTTTTTTTTTTTAAGATCTGCCTTTTTCTGTACCACCCAGATCAGAGCCTCCAGAAGTCAAGCCATGGATCCACCTGCACGTAAAGAAAAAACCAAAGTTAAAGAACCTGTCAGCAGAGTTGAGAAGGCCAAACAGAAATCAGCCCAGCAGGAGCTGAAGCAGAGACAAAGAGCAGAGGTGAGATTAAGGCGGAGGCTCTGTATGCCTGTAGTCTGCTGGAGATGATACTGGAGTAGACAAATAGCAGAAAGAACTGACAGCGAGCCCTACTTGCCTCCAGGCAGGATGGGTGTTCTCCCAGATTTAGAGGGGAAAACACTGAGGTTCAGAATGGTGAGGTGGCAGGCCAGAATCACATGCCAAGTTAGTGTCAGAACCCCAGCCTGGTGCGGAGCTTTTGTGGTAGAGACCCAAGGGAAGGAAGAAAGGAAAAAAAAAGTGGTATGTAAGGGGAAAGAAGGAGTCAGAATGAGAGAGAGCACGCAAGTGTCAGACACCCCAGTACAGATGTTCTGGATTTGGTGCAGAAAGTAGCTACTCATGCCAGGTAGAGGCCCAAGCCATTGTGTTCCTTTGTTCTCTCAACGATTACAATCAATTTGAGAATAAAAAGCTTTAAACTTTACACTGCCAATATTGAGCCACATACAGACATGAGTATTTTATTTTAGTATTTAATGTCAGGGAAAAGCTTGCTGGTCTCTTTTTCCCTCTTTGTTTTGTTTATTTATCTGTCTGTTTTGTCCATTTCCTGTCTTACATCCTTTTACCTTTTCATGGACAACTACTTTTTTTTATACTTTTACATTCAAATATGTTAATAGAGATCCTTGAACAATATACAATAGTATTTTAAATTTTTACATTAATAACATTCCTGCATTTTATTTTGCATTTTGCTTACATTGTTTTTTTAAGAACTGTTCATGCTAATATAAGAATCTAGTTTATTCTCATTAATTTTTATAGTAGTCTATTTTATGCATCCATTTTACTATATTTATTCTTTCTTACAGGGATGCACATTTAAATTATAGTATTTTTTGCTATTACAAACACTGCTGTAGTGAAAAGCTTTTAGGTGTCTCCTTTGGCACTTGCCTTAGAATTTCTATAGGGTATTTAACTAGAAAAATTACTGGGTACATTCTCAATTTTACTAGACATTGCCACATTGCTTTTTTTTTTTTTTTTTGAGATGGAGTCTCACTCTGTGACCCAGGCCAGAGTGCAGTGGCGCAATCTTGGCTCACTGCAACCTCTGCCTCCCAGGTTGAAGCAATTCTTCTGCCTCGGCCTCCCAAGTAGCTGGGATTACAGGCATGTGCCACCACGCCTGGCTAATTTTTGTATTTTTAGTAGAGATGAGGTTTCACCATGTTGGCCAGGCTGGTCTGGAACTCCTGACCTCAAGTGAGCTGCTCACCTCGGCCTCCCAAAGTGCTGGGATTACAGGTGTGAGCCACGGCGCCTGGCCTGCCAAATTGCTTTCAAAGGAATTGTATACATTTGCACTCCCACTACCAGTGGAAGAGGATTCTCATTCCTCATTTTTTTCCTAACACTTGATATTGTCAATTTTTTTTTTTGAGATGGAGTCCTCACTCTGTCGCCCAGGCTGGAGTGCAGTGGTGTGATCTTGGCTCACTGCAAACTCTGCGTCCTGGATTCGTGCCATTCTCCTGCTTC